TGAAAGCGGTCCCACTGAAACAGAGAAAGAGAGTCGGCTATAAGATTCAAGATGCCAGGAACATGACAAGTTATAATCCAAACATTCCGATCTAAACTAAGCAGTACTAAATGCTGTAGCAGATACAGATGTGGAACGATTGAGCCACACTCTTGTTGTCCATGTTAACAACCACCTTCCAATTAGTAAACTCCACACCTCAAAGCTTTACAGCCACAACTATAGGGAAAAGCTCAAGGAATGTAAAATTGCCCATTAATTCTCTGTCACGCCATCACAGAGGCCAAGCCTTCGCGCACCAGCACTCTTGAAAATATGCACCAAAACCCCTCGAAGCATCAGTAAAAAAAAAATCCAACTTATTAACGTTCAACATAGTGGAACTCAACCAGAAAGACTGACTAATACATGTACCAAGAAAGGAACTCCACATATGGAGGACATCCCGATGCCGACCAGTGACCCGGATAAAGTAAAACGGTTACTTTCCGCATCCTGTCACCAAGGACAGCCGCCAACAAAAGGCCCTACCCATTGAAAGAAAGTGACACTCCAAATTCAGATGCCCCAACAAGAACTGCAACTGGAGCAATTGAACTTTTTTTGCTTCTTTCACCATATCTACCAAGCATAGCAACCACAACAGAAAAACCCTGGCTCATGAATCAACTTCCATATCCAGGTATGAAAGAACCCAAACAGGACCAACTGTCTTATGCGTCGCTACAGAAACCCTAAATTCTGATGCAACCCGATGAAAGGAGAACCACCCATGCGTCCGATTCTTGCGGATCCATAAACAAAAAGTCATACAGATAGTGAGTCAAGGGCAACAGGCCAGACACCTGGGAATCTACCCATTCAAAAAACGTGATAAACATTTTAAAGTTAGAACACAAAATGACGCAACCCATGGGCAAATACATGTCAATAAAGTACAAACCACAAAAGTGGTAACCTAACAAATGGAAGCAGTCTGGGTGGAGAGGGAGCTGGACTCAATGTCTGATTTCGCCAGCTAGGCTCCCGCCCTGTCCTCCCTAACTAACTCAAGGGCCCTATCAAAAGAGTCAAACAGAACCACAGACACCTCTTTATCAATATCATTATTAACCGACCTGCACGCTGTGTAGGACAGGTGGTGAATGAGTCAAAAATCCCCAGGAACCTTTTTGGCCACCAAACCAAATTGCGAGACTTTTAAATTGGTGAAGAGCAGGAGAGCTAATGGGCCGGCCATTCGTCCCACACAAACTTCTTTCCTGAGTTTCTCCTCCAAATTCACTTCTTTACCCATGTAAATTACCCTCAAATGATGACGAGTCCAAATGAACAAATGGAATTCAAAAACCCACAGAAAATCTATCAAACAAAACCTGCACTTCCAGACACTTAGGATACCGGTCGGGAGCATCCTTTCCACGCTCACCAGCATCCTCCGCTTTAGGGGGACAGTCCACGGGGGTTATTAACAACAGTAATAGGCTGGCGCCATGTACCCCAAAGTCCATTCTCAGACTAACCGCCATCTTCTGGGAAAACTGCTCATCATACCGGAACCAGCATTGAGCATATTTTATAACTAAACTAAATTAAAATATATATATATATATATATATATATATATATATGTTTCTAAATGGTTTCTGGAAGAGCTTTAAAATAAAATAAAAAAGTAAAAAAGCAATTTATGATTGACCTGCATATGACAAGAGCATTGGAACAAAAATAGTCTACTGAATTGGATTTTATACATCGACCCAAATCAGGTCCAAGTAACCAAACAACACTGGAGTCTTCTCTGGAAAGCACTGAGAGAGCTAAGTCTGTTGCAGGAGCTGCTTACGTTTTTTTCCTTTCCCCATGTCCCTGCACTGCGGCCTATTCACCAACTATTCACTGACTGTAGCGGACATTGGCCCGAACGGTGTCTCAGACCTGGACTATAGTCGTGAGCAGAAGGCCAGCTTCCACACTCCTCCAGGAGTTTGTGGCAAACATTCATGGGAAGGAGCGTTTGTCACACTGATGTGTGATCTGCTCCACCTCTTCACGTCCGTAACATCTCCTCCACCACGCACAAGACAAAGGCCACACAGATCTTAGCTCCGCTGCTCTAGCTAAAATAGGTACACAGTACTGTTTAAAGCCTATCTGCTGTCAGAATATTGGTGAGCTCATTTCTTTTTTTTAATTCAAGATCAGTGTTTATTAATACATGCTCACAGGCAGCAATGAAATAGCAATAGCAGATGTTTACAGTTGGTGTTTCAAAGCAGGTAAATAGTAAGACATTGATAGCGTTCCATATGATATTTACATAGGAGAAGCATGTACACGTTTCTGAAGTGATAGTTAAAATAATAAAACGACTTAAGTAAGCACAACAACATTTTCAATTTCTATATGATGCAAAGGAAAGGTATCCTAGACCATCTTCCTTGGACTCAGCCTAAATATGTGTAAGTGTCAAGGTTGCATATATTTTGTGGTAGCTGTGTATGTCCACTACGTTAAAGGTAGGATTGTGTATTCCCCTACTGTCTGACATTGTGAGTTAATGCATTGGTAGGTTAAAGTGATAGGTAAGTGACAGTCTAGGTTAGTAAGACTTCACAGTTAGGCATATGGGCTTAAATCCCGTTTCTGAGGGGCCGGAGCCCATACCATCTCAAGGTAGTTACGGTTCCTCGTCTGTGTTGCGGTTCGGTAGTCGGGGTGTTTCCGATAGAGCATAGTGGCCCCCTCTAGACTCTCCAGCCAGGTCAGGGTCCGCCATTTTCAGTGCGGGGTGTAGGCCCCAGGCTCCCATATTGTCTCTTCCCCGGTGATATCACTATCGGGCGGGCAGCAGTCGATAGCAGAGATATTCCTCTGCTGGCTTCCGACATGCAAACAGAACAACACTTGGGTAATTTGCTTGATTTTGGGCATTTTCGGGTTTTGGGACAGGAGCTCTCGAAAATGGCTGTTGACCAGCTCAAGGGGCCGGCCCCGCCCCTGGTGTGCTCATTTCTAAGATGCATCAGTAGCATACGTGTTGATATTTTTCAGTGCAAGGGAGGAAAGAAAAGGAAGGGGTAAATTAAATATGTTGCAATGTGTACTTTGTTTTCTAATCTATCATAATGATAATGGAAAGGTGACCAGTGGAAAGTGTATAGTAAATAAAATATTTTATAACTAAACTAAAGTAAAAAAAAAAAATATATATATATATATATATATGTATATATATATATATATATATATATATGTTTCTAAATGGTTTCTGGAAGAGCTTTAAAATAAAATAAAAAAGTAAAAAAGCAATTTATGATTGACCTGCATATGACAAGAGCATTGGAACAAAAATAGTCTACTGAATTGAATCAGATTTTCTGAACTGCATAACATTATGAAACCTATAATTTATTATTCAGAAGTACATCAATTGTAGAGGAACACTAACCTGCACAATTATTCCTACCATACAATGTATGTCACAGAAATGTCATACATTTCAAACTATATTACAGCAGTGAAACATCACTGTCTTTGTTGGAGTACCAACAAAGTTAAAATACACAACTTTGTAAATTAAAGAAAAGCTAATATTTTAAGTTTTTAAATGTATTATACAATGCATAAAAGTAGTGATTGAAATATAAATGGCCACAGTTTAAAAATGCCTAAGTCTTGAGGTTTTAAAGACGTGCCCAAGTAAAATTCCTTTGTTTTGAATACAAATCTAATTGTCAAAACATATTAATATTTTTGGAAATCCAATAAGGTGACTGAAATGGAAAAAAAACAAAGTTGGTGAGTCTGAGTTCACAAACTGGTAGGTGTAGAGGATACTTAAAGGGACTCTCCAGGCAGCCGTTTTAACTCACCTGGTTCCAGCGCCGGGAGCCTCGTGAAGCCGCGCCCCCTATTCCGTCAAAATGACGAAATAGACGGGCGTGAGCAGGGAGCAATCAGACGTTTCTATTTGCCCGCCCCCTCTCCTCTGCTGACAGGCAGAAGAGAGAAGGCGCGCACACAGTGCCTTCTCTCTCCTGCACACGTCAGACGTATTTCAATACGTCTGACGTGTACAAGGCCTTTTTAGGGCCCTACATGATAGGAAGTCCCTCTGGTGGCCTTCTGAGTGACGGCCACTGGAGGTATTCCTATCAATCAATGTAAACACTGTATTTTCTCTGAAAATACAGTGTTTACATTAGATTGCCTGCAGGGAGCTATAGATCATACCTGAACAACTACATTAAGCTGTAGTTGTTCAGGTGACTATAGTGTCCCTTTAAATAAAGCTACAATGTCAATGCATTATAGCGGCATTATTACTTATTGCTGTACTTAGGTTATAATGATGCCCTGCTGTCACGGCTAAAGTAGGAGAACCCAAAACACATAGACCCTAATCTACTAAAGTAGAGGTATAATGTTTTACCAGGCCTTAGAATGGCAGGATTTAACGTAAAGAGAAGTCAGGAAGAAATCCATATATATAGTATATTGATCCCCTGCTGATTTTGAACGTTTGTCCACTGACAAAAAATTATCAGTCTATAATTTTAATGATAACAGTGAGAGCCAGAATAACAAAAACAAAATCCAGAAAAACACATGTCAAAATAGTTATAAATTGATTTGCATGTTAATGAGTCAATCAGCAAGATTTCTGCTTCTCCCAGGTGTCTTTTACACAGGTAACGAGCAGAGATTAGGAGTAGAGTTGAGCGAACCCGGACTGTAAAGTTCGGGTTCGTACCGAACATTTGTTTTTTTGGACCCCGGGCCCGAACACAGACATATCACTGTATGTTTAGGTTGGAGTTCTGTGTTCGGCGATTTAATGGTGCGTTTGCAAAGGCTGTAGGGCAGCCAATCAACAAGCGCTTGACTCGTGTGCCCTTAGAAGCCATCACAGCCATGCCTACTAATGGCACGGCTGGGACTGGCCAGTGCAGCATGTGACCCAGCCTCTACATATAAAAGCTGGAGTCACGTAGCGCCACCCGTCACATGAGCTCTTATTAGTGTAGGGAGAGGATGCTGCCGCTTTAGGGACAGATTAGGAAAGAATTCTGCAAAATAGTATATTAGTGGGGTGCACTTCATATCTGAGAGTCAAATAGAAGCATCAAATACTGTGGTTACATCAGAGATTTAAAACGTCAAATTTTTTTGGTGCTAAATAGTACATTTGGGGTGTGCACTTCATATCTGAGAGTCAAATAGAAGCGTCAAATACTGCTATCACATTGCAGTTTTAAAACATACATTTTTTGGGGTGCTAAAAAGTACATTACTGTGGTGCACGTCATATCTGAGAGTCAAATAGAAGCGTCAAATACGGCTGTCACATTGCAGTTTTAAAACTTAAAATTTTTGGGATGTTAAAAAGTACATTAGTGGGGTGCACTTCATTTCTGAGAGTCAAATAGAAACGTCAAATACTGCTTTCACATTGCAGTTTTAAAAATTTAAAATTTTTGGGTGCTAAAAAGTACATTAGTGGGGTGCACTTCATATCTGAGAGTCAAACTGAAGCGTCAGATACTGTGGTTACAGCGCAGTTGTAAAAATTCTTATTGTTTAAACTGCTAAATAGTAAATTTGAGGCATGCTCTTCATATCTGAGAGTCAATAGAAGTGTCAAATACTGCGGTTACAGCGCAATTGTAAACATTCTTATTTTCTGGGCGCCAGTCTGCTAAATAGTACATTTGGGCCCTGCAGTTCATATCTGAGAGTCAAATGGAAGCGTCAAATACTGCGGTTACAGCGCAGTTGTAAAAATTCTAATTGTTTTGGTCCTAAGAAGTACATTTGGGGCGTGCTCTTCATATCTGAGAGCCAAATAGAAGCGTAAAATACTGCGGTTACAGCGCAATTGTAAACATTCTTATTTTCTGGGTGCTAATCTGCTAAATAGTACATTTTGGCCCTGCACTTTATATCTGAGAGTCAAATAGAATTGTCAAATACTGCAGTTACAGTGCAGTTGTAAAAATTCTTATTGTTTTGGTGCTAAACCTACATTCCTTATATAGCAATGAGAGTCAAATGGAAGCGTCAAATACAGTGTTTACAGCGCACTTTGACAAATTCCCATTTTTTTGCTCCTAAGAAGTACATTTGGGGCGTGCTCTTCATATCTGAGAGCCAAATAGAAGAGTAAAATACTGCGGTTACAGCGCAATTGTAAACATTCTTATTTTCTGGGTGCTAATCTGCTAAATAGTACATTTTGGCCCTGCACTTCATATCTGAGAGTCAAATAGAATTGTCAAATACTGCAGTTACAGTGCAGTTGTAAAAATTCTTATAGTTTTGGTGCTAAACCTACATTCCTTATATAGCAATATAGCTCCTCCCATAAATAGCTACACCCACACATACCTTTAACCAATCAATGAACAGAGTCTGGACTTGCTCATCCGGTCAGACCACATGGCTCATCCGAAACAAAGGAGAAAGGAGTGTGATTTCAGTTCCTACATTCCTGCACATGCGCAGTACATTGATGACAGTATCTTAGCTACATGTAACTAACTAACAGATACAACAAACACCTGTACTTGTATAGGCCACATGGAGATTTCAGGCCTACTAAATTTTGAACCATGTTGAAATCCCATCACATTCCCCACTTTGATGTTTATGATACAAAGTTATTCCAGATGCAGTAGCCATGGACCAGAGCAGACCTTGTAAGCATCTTAGCATCATCACAAACTTCTTCAGCATTCCTCATCCTGAATATGTTCTCTCTCTGGGCTAGAGATTCATACTTCCAGACAGCCATTACATGAACAGCTATCTTTCTTTCTATAGTACTCTTTATGATACTACGTATAGATCTGACCACTAATGGAATTAGGCAGGGCAGAAAGAGACATAAGAATATAATGAATATTACTCCTCCTACTAATGCCTTAATCCCTCCAAGCTGCTCATACCAACTTCCAATATTGGGGTTCTATATCCATAAGTACCATCTTCTGCCCAAGTAGCAGGTCCATAATAATTTATGATACGTTGAGGAGGCCACTCATCTTCCCAACTACCTATATTCAAGGATGCTTGCTTCTTTTTATGATTCACATCATAAACCTTAACTCCCAAGGTCTCTCCTGTCTCAATTGGCAACAAGAAGAAGATGGTTTGAGCGTACCTAGTACACATGCTCCCTCCCAGTCTTGTGGTAACTCTGAATATGCTTTCTTACCACAGATCCAGTACAAATTCACTGGGGTTTTCCAATTGGATGTAGCAGATAAGTCAAACCATACCTCTTTTAAATTGGTGTAGTTGGCAAAAGGATTAGTAGGCTCTGAGACATTTGAAGCTGACCAGCAGCTTTTGTATCAGCATTATAGGCCTTCTGTCCTAAGCAGGTTAACTCTCCAACAGATGTATTAGACAGTGGCTCTCTTCTAGCTAAACATACATGGCCTATGATAAATGTTTTTAAACGCCATTCTGATTTACCTCTAGTACTTACTTGATGATCAGACTGAGAAAGTATCTGTTGTTCACCTGTCTCAGAACCAGGGTACCATGCTTCTTTTGCTTCCCATGGCCATTGGTCTCCCATATTAGTACCTCCACATACAAAGCAGTTAGTTATATTAAGACTACCTGCAATACTCTCTGCCAAATCAATACATAAGTTCTTAACATTATGGGGAATTTTATCCTCAACACTCATCTCCTCATAGAAGGAATGAAAAACCTGATGAGTTTGAGAAGCTGTCATCTCAGTTTCAAGTCCTACATATATTATGGTCCCTGGATCTACTCCTGTACCATGTATTTTGAAACCCAAAGAGATTCCCAAACTTATCAATGAAGTGCTGTGGATTGGAAATGGTCATATTCCCCGGGGTACACTCCATAGTTTTACAATACGGTGCAGTGGGCAACCTTTGGATAATTATATCTTGATCTACTGGCTTTCCCCAGGTCGCCAAACCTACACATGACCAATAGGGGCAGAAGTTAAAGTCTCTATTTGGGCAGTCAGGATCAGTAGATCTTTTACTGGGACATAAATATTTATCATTAAACCCATAAATTCATTCCCATTTAAGATTACCACATACATTCCAAGGTTTTCCACTACCCGATATCGCCTTACATGCATCAAATAGTAGAATGTCCATAGAATGTATGGTGCTTATCACAGTCTTATTTATTAAGGTCCCCTGGGAGTTACTGTTCCGAATTACCAACCAAATTGTACGGGGTTGGAATTGGGGATCGAAACACTTGGGCTCACCTGAATTTTCTTTTTATCACTTACTTTATTTAATAATTTTTATTTAATTTTCTATTTACTTTCATTTCCATTTATTATTTATTTTTATTTAAATTTATTTTTATATTCAATTTTATTTTATTTTATTTTATTTTTCCTTTTCATGTTTGATTTGATTTCATCTTTATTTAGTTTCATTTTCATTAATTTTTATTTTTAATTAGATTTTTATTTTTATTTATTTTTACTTTAATTTATATTTATTTTTGTTTATTTTCATTTTTATTTTTATTTATTTTTATTCATTACTTATTATTTTTATTATTATTATTTTTAATTTATTATCATTATTTTTAATTTTTTTGCTTTTCATATACATTTATTTTTTTAAATTTATTTTCATTGTTTATATTCTTAATTTTATTCATTTTTACAATTCTAGTTTTCATTATTTATCTTTATCTATTCTCTTTATTTTCATCCTTATATCCATTTTTTTCATAATTTTTTTCATTATTTATCAAATGTTATACTTCAAATTACAATTCATCATTTACTATTTTTTCCATCCTGTTACCTTTACCAATTTTGAACTCAAGACAATTTTTTTGGTCTTTATTATTTATTAATGTTTTATAGATTTACTTTAATATTCATTTTTCGGCATTACTACATTTTTAAATCATCATTTTTTATGACCACTTTTATAATACTAAAGATTAATTGATAATATGATAAGGTTCACATTTCCATATGAATACTGTGCATTTTTATATGTTTTCAACTTCTGGACAATAAAGACATCAGATATAGATGTTCAATGTTTTTATTTCTCCTTTTGTGTGCTTATTGTTGCTACGAGCCGATAAGGCTCGAATGTGAACTGTATAGTAGGGATTCCTGTAGATAGTGTTCCCCTGTGATGCGGACCGGAAGTTGCGCACGAAGCGCAAAGGATCATGGATCTTGTAGTCACGAAAAACCAGAAGTGACGCGACGGCAAGAAAATCGCATCACGAAAGGCATTGGACCACGAGAATTTCGGCGGGAATGGAAGCATTTTTAAACACAGAGACAGTGAAAGACTCCTGAAAGCTGACTGAGGAAGCCGTTGAGATCGGTGAAACGCGTTTTAGCTTAACGTGGACTCACTATTTTTTGTACCACCCTATATTTCATTACTTTGTTTTTATAATTTTGTTTGTTATTTTATATATATATGTAATTTTAAAAGTAATTCCTATATTTTTATATATTGTAATAAATACTCCCCTTTTTACACCATTTTATTGGATCCTGAAAATAATTCCAGGGAAGGGGTAGTGTCACCCCAAAAATTGACACCAAGCTGGTATACTTAGAGCCAGTTATCAAAAGGCTCTAGAAAAGGTGAGCACTTTGAACTTTATATTTTATAAACACAATTACTACTGGAGATACTACACTTAGTTTGATACATTTGTGTCTTCTATACATGCTGTGGAGAGGAATATACCATTGCCTGGAGAAAGGGGTCGTGTGGTCTACCTAAAAAGACACAAGACGCTTGGAAGTTTAGAGCCTAAAAACTAGAAAAGGCTCTAGAAAATGTGAGTTTAGACACATTTGTCACTTACATGTAACTTTTCCACAATTTGTAATATACTGCACTATTATTTGTATATATCTTTTTCTCTTTTTATATATACATCACTTTGAGACCATTATAGAGGGTAAGTGTTCTCACATTATAATATAGCGCTGCACTCTTTAAAAACCTAAGGACCCAAAAGGTGGAAACACCAGCAAGGTCTAAAGTTTTTTGTGTTTTTTGGTGTTTATGTATGGTGGGTTGTGAGGAGTACCCATAGAGTGTATATAGCAGCTAATATTCACTAATCTAAATCACATATCATATAGCGCCACTTATTCCACACCTTTTTGTATATATATTCTCACCTGATATTGATTTGCACACACT